AAGAGACATGACTGAGTTCCAAATGAATATAACACACTTGAAATGAACTCTAGCAGCCTTATTTCGGTTGAATCTCACTTGTGCGCTCAGCGTTGAAAGGGGCATCACTTGACTTTCGTGCCAGCGTAAGTCTCGTCTACAGTATTTGGGGCCGTGTTACGCCTCTCTGGGCATTCCAGCGCATGGGGTTGCCTCGCCCTGACTCATCTGCATCGTCATTTTCGAGCTTGTTCAGTGCTGGCCAATCTGCAAATTTGGTCAAACTCTGTGTGCAGGTGGCGTAATGCGATTTTGGTCCATTGGATGGTAAATGGTCAATGCGCTTTTCTACCTCGGGTACTCAAAGCGCTTCACACTGTGTCCTCATTTACCTACTGGTGACGCAGCATCAGGAGCAACTCGGGGGGTGTCAGTATCTTGCTCAAGGACAAAAGCAATTTCAACTAATATACTAAGCCGCGAGATTTGCTTCATCAAAGCCAAAAGACACAGTCATTTGCCTTGTGAAGCAGAGATGATTTTTCTCACACAATCCTTACCAGATAATTACATAATAAATCAAACCATCCAACTGTTCAAATATTCATCATATAACGCAACCATGTGCTCACTTACTCCGTTAGTCTAAAAATGTTAACCAGTGGATTGACTCACCAGCCGTTCAGCGTAATTAGGAATGCTTTTTGTGTGTGTGTGTGTGTGTGTGTGTGTGTGTGTGTGTAGGACTCAAAATGGAATCTCACTCAGACTCGTTTTAGTTCAAATTAATATTGTTTTGAATATTGTTTTGCAAGAAGAGCACCAAAACAGCTTGATGAATGTGTGTTTTTCATGCAATTGTGGCCCAGTGTGCATCAAAAAAAAAGAAAAAAAAAGACAGAACAATGACTCATTCTACATTTCACTGAACAAGAAGACCTTGTGTAGCCTTGACTTTGTCTTGTCATCTTTACTATGCTTGTTGGCAGGGTTTTGAAGTTGCCTTTTAACAATCTAGGATATGCAGCAAGGGGAGTAAAGATGACGCCATGAGAATATGGCTAGGTTTTTTTTTGTGTTGTTTTGTTTTAATTGCCTTTTTATCCATTAATGTGTCACAGTCAGGCCAATTCAAATGGCAGATCCACTGGATCACGGAGAAACGAATATCCGCATGACTTCTGGTAAAAATGTTGCTATTTGTTACAGTGTTTCGTTTCACTGAGCGGTTTATTTTATTTAATTTTTTTTCACCTCTTTTCTAAGCGATCATTAGTCCCCGTTGCATTGTAAAATGTCTTGCACACCTTGGCAGTTGTATGAGCAAGTAGAAGAAGTTGAATCTGTGACTAAAAGCATGATTTGTTTGTGTGTGTGTGTGTGTGTGTGTGTGTGTGTGTGTGTGTGTGTGTGTGTGTGTGTGTGTGCGTGTGTGTGTGTGTGTGGCTGGGACAGAATTAAACTACAGTATTTTCATATTCATTCATAGAGGAAAAAGATTTCTGAACTGTAAGTTCCTTGTGGCTGCCCATGTTTGAGGAAAAATTTGATACATCTCAAAATCATACTCTGTATTACATATAAAATTTGAAATTGGCAGGAACGTAAACAAACAAGCGAATCAGACTGGAGTCATCCCCGGCCCTCAATGCTAATGCTGAAATGTGTTCCTTTTTTTTTTTTATTTTCACCATCAATGTTTTTTTCTGGACAACAATCTGATTATCTGTGGATAGATCACGGAAAGCCAGAGTTTGTTTTGCTAATCAAAAAGGAGCACAACATCTCCTCGGGGTGTATGACACATCTCCTTTAGATGATCCTCTGTCTGATCTGTGAGTTCCACTGTGGCACAAGAGGCTTATCAGACCTCCAGGCTGCCGTTGATGCCGTCTCAACCTTGGGATCCCCCTGCTTCTTCCTCTTACAGGACCCGACTGACAGACACATTTGCTCTCGTTTTTTTGTCTGCCTTGTTGCCTGACATGTTGTTGCAATTAGTGGAACCGTCATGTCAATGCTTATGGAGGACACGTCCATGTGTGAAGGGTCTTTGGTTTGGTTATTCTTTGCATATCTTATCTTCTCCACACTGAGTAATGACAACGCATTTTGCGGCCACTGATAAAAAAATACAAGTACCGTTCCTGTCACGTTGCGTGGTGGTGGAGGACCCCAAAAAGCAGACAGGAAGGAGGAGCAGGGTAAACTAGACAAATTGCATTAACAAAACACTGAGGAAACTAAATCTAAAACAAAGAAAGTCATGAAAACAAAAAGAATCCAAAGTAACAAACAAAAACCTTGGCTGAAGCAAAAAACTAACAGTAACAGAAAAAACAATAGAAACCATGACAGAGACAATGACAGAAACAGTGACCCGACATTGAGTGATCGTGCCGGGAGTCCTTTAAAACAAACAACTCATGACACAATGACCAACAGGTGTGCAGCTGCAGGCGGAGCCCTACAGTGCCACCTGTTGGTCACAAACAGAACCATGGCAGTACCCCTCCCTCAAGGGACTGACGTGAATGTGGCTCGGCTCAACGTGATTGGCGCACGATCACCAGCTTCTCCATCGCCTGGGAGATTCTATTGAGCGCCAGTCATCAGAGTAGAGCAAGGACAAAACGGTATGCTAGTTGTGTCGTGCTATCTGGGTCCATGCAGTTATTTCAGGTCCACCAATATATATTGTACATATCGAGAATATATTTCAAGTATATTTTAGGATAAAGTTGGTAGGTCATTTGGGCATTTCACAAGTAGTTTACATGCTGAAAAAATGTGGGTACCCCTGGTCTAGAGTGACACAACGGTAGAAACATTCACCAATTTCAGTGGAGTTGGTCTCCCTTTTTTGTCAGTGCATCAAAGTCTGGTGTTAGTTTTGTTGTGGAAATTCTCAAGATCAGAGCTGAAGAGTTGCTCCGTTAACTTGGATCTGTGACGGGCTTTGTTGATATTCGTGACGCTGAATGTCTGCTCACACAATGTAGGTCGAGCCAAACACTCGGCGCTCACTGTCCACTTTCCTTCGGTCTGCTCATTTTTACAGTAGGGCTTAAAAGCCAAAGGATAAATGAAAGCGGAACATAAACGTAAAACATTTGTGGGCCTGGAGAGATTGCACAAGGCTCATTGCCTTTTTTATCCATGCCAAAATACAAGTAACAATATCCAGAAGAGAGGGTTTAAAGGGACTCTTGGGGCAACTAAGCAGATGTGGATCTGGGCAAATCAGTTGCACCAACAGCAAAAGAACAAGACTCAAAATCAGATCGGAACAGTGAAGAAGATATTTGTGTCTGATATCAATAAATAAATGTATGCATGTGTGTGTGTGTGTGTGTGTGTGTGTGTGTGTGTGTGTGTGTGTGTGTGTGTGTGTTCATGTATTCCTTCTGTGTTCTACTGCTGGGTTTGCGATGAGACTTTGATCAGTTGCAACTTTTGCAGCCTGTTAACTATCGTAGCTCACACATAACGTTTTAAAGTGCTTCCCTCGGCCTTCAAGATTCCTGTTCTTTGCCCGTGTCCTCGGTGAATTGTACATGAAACAAACTCTGAATGAGAATAATGATAAAAGACATCACAAGCTGCAATTGCAGACTGCTGAGCGCTAACAACTTCCGGTGACGCAGGTCACGCGCCACCGCAGGTTAAAGATTTACCCGCTTTATTTTATTTTATTTTTTAAATACTTTTTGTAAAAATGAGACTGATAGGATGATTAGGGTGTACATTAACACCCAAAAATATATTACTAACATGCACAAAGACACACAAATGGTTGTTTGTTTGTTTTTTCTCCTCGACACCCCTCGCGATCGACTTGGGACCAGTCCGCGATCTCCCGGTCGATTGCGATCGACGTAATGGGCACCTCTGTAATCTAGATCATAAAATGTTCAGTTGGCAAACATCTTTGCATTTGTTTGCAACCTTGAACAAACACTGACGAAAAATCGTACCCCCGCTAACCTCGCCGCTCAGTGGGATACCAGCTGCAGGCAACTGTTTATTCGTGTGTGCCGACCCAATCTGCACCTGTTGAGATGAACATATCCAGCTCAAACCATTCGATCAGACAAGTGTTGTGACCCATATTGGGTATCAGTACAGTCAGTCAGCTGCGCGTGTGGTCTTTCGTGTTGATGTGCCTGGTCCTCACGTGAATGCCGGTTGAATGAGTGACAGTTGATTGATCTTGTCACCACCCGATACTCTCTTTGTGGACTTTGAGAGTTCACCTTTCTCTGCTGGCTCATTCCGGAGTCAAATAAATCTCTTGGGCTGTCAACAAAACAAAGTGTATAATTTTTTTTTGGAAGTACCAGTATTTTTTTTAACGGTAATTTCATCTCATTGGAAAAATTATGGCCCACTCACATCTTTAGTTGCATCGATTATTAAATGTGACTTTTATATTTGATGAATGTCCATCATCTATATCTTGAGCAACAAAGGAAACATTAAAAAAAAAAAAAAAAAAAAAACATTTTTTTCACTTAGTCCAGCTGGCGAAGAAGGTTTTAATATGTGTACCGGAATATTGAGAGACACAACTTCAGAGCAACAATACAACGCAGACATCTGAATAAAAAGAAACCCAGCTGAAAATGTTTCCATTTTATAACTTGTTTTATCTTTTAAACAGAATTTGGCATGGAAGTTGGTCATCAAGAGGTACCAAAAGAAAAAAATAAAACATTTTTAGGGGGTGATCAAGAGCTATTTTCCAATCAGTTTTTTCGACAGCCACTGTCACATTTTGTCTCATGACAATTAGAATTTGCACAAGTCCATGACAGAAAATGTTTTCCAGTTTTGGAATGACCCTTATGTCTGGAAACCTCGGTGTGATCGCTTGCCTTCAAATGGAAGAGACAAAGAGTGAAACTGTGTTTCCTTCCGAGTCATCACAGGGAGCAGTCGACTGTGGAACATTCACACTGAGTTGAATGACTGACTCTTCTCCTCCCCTTCGGAGTCACGCTGTTTTCTCATCCTTCCAGGTGAATGTTGATGACACCACTGAAATGTTACCCAAATCAAGGCGAGCTTTGACCATTCAAGAGATTGCAGCGTTGGCACGATCCTCCCTGCACGGTGAGTTCAGTGGACACAAACAGACACGCAGGCGGAACATAAAAGGCCTAACATCATCATTTTGTTCATTATCCTGATGTCTGTTTTGACCTCTCACACAAAGGTTTGACCCACAACTTCTTTCTTTTGCCACCCAAATTTGGGAGGATTTACAAATTGTACAACCTTTAAAACCATTTTAATTCTGAGGTTCTAGCGTATTGGCCCGAATATAAGACGGCCCTGATTATAAGACGACCCCCTCTTTTTCAAGACTCAAGTTTGAAAAAAGACTTTTTGAACACCAAATTAATTTTTAGACAGAAAATAATTACAGTACATCTGAAACAAATGATTATAACAATATATTTGAGAGAAAAAGCATGTTATTTTTCCTCATTCAAATCTAAAGTGCAATCACTTTCGTAAATGAATGGCTTCTGGTTTTTGAAATGTAAATAACATCATAACTTCTCCTCAGCTGCCGGTTAACCTGGCCGATCTTCGACCCACTTTTCTCCAGATTGTCACTAGGTTTCTCAATTTTCTGTTATCTCTTCTACTATTTTTTTCTCTTTTCCTTCTTATCGCTATTTTTTATTTTTCTTCTTCGTGCTACCGCTATTTTTATTTTTATTCTTCGTGACAGGGGTTCACTTTGGCCTGGGGAGTCAAGTTCAGCATTCGCTTCAATGATATCTGGCGCCATCTAGCGTCGTGAATGGGTATAATGTCTAGATGCCAAATATAAGACGACCCCCACTTTTTCAGTCTTATTTCAATGCAAAAAACACCGTCTTATATTCGGGCCAATACGGTACTTCATCTTCACGCGTTTGTGTTCTGATGCTAACCCTTTCATGCACCCTGTAACCTGATAACATGAAAAGCTGTCCGCTGTAGTAGCCGCTGTCCCCAAAAGGGTAAAAGAAGTCGTAATGCAGTAACATAAGCTTTAAAATTTGTCTCACAGGTATTTCCCAGGTAGTGAAGGACCATGTGACAAAGCCCACCGCCATGGCACAGGGCAGAGTAGCCCACCTCATCGAGTGGAAGGGATGGTGTAAACCACTGGAAACGCCCACGGCCCTGGAATCAGACTTTAATTCTTATTCCGATCTCACCGAGGGAGAGCAGGAGGCCCGTTTTGCTGCAGGTATGATCTTGTTTGAGGTTGCGCACATTGCTATGTCTCCATCCCCCTTTTTAAATATGAATACAGCATGACTGAGATTTTCAAAAGGATCTCAATGGCATGCAATGGCATATTGGCCTTTAGAACAGGTACTACATTAGTATCCTAAGGGACAGTATGTTTGAGTTCACCAGTAAGATTGAAATGGAATCTGTCTCCAAAGGCTGTGCTAAGAACATAATTACCATTGCCTAGTTTTAAATCCCAGCGGGGAACAACACATTCCATGTGTGAGATTTCAAACTGAACCATAGCAGGATTATAGATCCTGCCCGACTCTTTAGTATACTGTAACTCCATGAGCACTAATCCATCATGCAACCCTTTCCATGAACAGCATCTGCTTGACTGTAAGCGGTTAGCAGTGTGCAAGCTTGTGTTGTCCAAAGTTGCAGAGTCATTTCATCATCAAAAATAAAAAAATAAAAAAACCCACAAACTATCAGGCTTGTGTGAGTTCGATATTGTCATCCAAGCACAACAAGTAGAAACAAGATAACAACAAGACCTATTATTCCTGTGCGTAATGTCAGACGTTATCAGTAAAACTCAATGACATTCATTTCCGTGACGGTACTTATTTTCTTTCTTTTATTTTCCCTTGGTTTACTTCGAGCTGAATTCATTATCGCCAATCCTTCTTTTAACACTCTGACATCTCTTGCAGCCCCCCTATTTATTTATCTCATCCTAACATCCGTTTTTCACCTCGTCTCCGCTCGCTTTCTCCCTGCAATGCAGACTCTCAAGGTTAATTTGCTCGGTAAGATTTTGCTTGTGACGCGTGCCACCATGACGGAGCGCTTTCTACATGTCTTTTTGTTCCCTTTTTTTCCCCTCTCTTCTTCAGTCTTACAATTCACAAGATTTTTTTTAACTGTTTCTTTCTCAAATAGTTGGGCCTCTGGAGTTTCTGCCCATCCGGAAAGTATAAAATGACACATTTTCTCAGGGTATCCCTGTTTCCTTCGACATTATGAAATCAAGCTTTTTAAGTGAATTGAAAAAGGGCGGCCCGGTGGTCGACTGGTTAGCGCGTCGGCCGAACAGTGCGGAGATGCAGGGTTACATTCCAGCTCGGGCCTTAATGTGTGGAGTTTGCATGTGCTCCCCGTGCTTGTGTGGGTTTTCTCCCACATTCCAAAAACATGCGTGGCAGGTTAATGGAACACTCCAAATTGTGGGGTGCGTATGAGCGCGGATGGCTGTTCGTTTATGTGTGCCCTGCGATTGGCTGGCAACCAATTCAGGGTGTCCCCCGCCTATTGCCCGAAGACAGCTGGGATAGGCTGCAGCATGCCCCGCGACCCTTGTGAGGACAAGCGGATTAGAAAATGGATGGATGGAAAACTCTAAATTGTCCATCGAGTTGAATGTAAGCGTTAATGGTTGTTTGTCTATATGTGTCATGTGATTGGCTAGTGAGCAGTCCAGAGGGTACCCTGCCTAAAGTCTGCTGGGCAAGGCTCCAGCACACCTGGAAACCCCTCCTGAGGATAAACTGTACAGTGGTACCTCTGCTTACGAACGTCTCTTCATACGAAATTTTCAAGTTGCGAAACAGGAAAATATTGCCTCTTGTTACGAAAGAAATGTCAAGACACCAATGGTAAAAATACAGTATGGGGTGCTCCGCCCATCATTTTAATTCTTCACTCTATTCTTTGTTTTTTACATTATGCAGAACTCTTATTTATTGTCCAATAATCTAATTGTAACATGTATTTGTTACCTATTTTGATGCATTTTTATGCTTTATAAAACATTTATAAATTTTGGGGGGCTCGGAACGAATTAGGGCATTTACATGGAAAATGCGTCTCTACTTACAACATTTTCTAGTTAAGAAATTTCTTACAGAACCAATTAACTTCGTAAGCCGAGGTACCACTGTATAGATGATGGATGGATGGACTGGTGGCTAGGCATTGCAGAGACCCAACTAGTTGCATGCAAGCTGTTAACACGTCAATTTTCTCTGTCTTAATTTCTTTTTGTCTTAATATTAACCCTTTCATGCACCTTGTAACCTGATAACACTTGGAAGGCAGTTAAGAATCTTAAAATTTGACTTTAAAATGCCTGTACAGCAAACACAGATTTCATCATAGGTTTGTGGAATACATTGATTGAACGCCAAAAATCAACCATTACAATTTAATGTTTGACGTAACTGTACGGTGGCAAACATGCCCACCCCACCCCAATGAGGCGATTATGCAGTAGAAAACAAAAACGTAATGTTTTGTAATGGTGGTTTATAGGCCTCAAACGACTCTTTGGGGAGTGCGCTCAACAATTGTTTGGATGCTGTTAAAAATCGAGTCATGCAGATGAGCATAAAACCGGAGCTGCTGAGTCCTGTTATCTTGTCAACAGTCCACTTGTAGCCTGGTGATGGTGTCGCCGTGGGTGGCAGGACACACTGTGCAAATGTCAGTGAGCATGTTTGTGTGAAATGGAAAACACGACTGAAGCAGTGTTTGCTGTAGGCGGACTAAGAACTGAGAGTTTCTTGGGACACACACATGCATACAGTACACACACATACAGACTTTTTGCAGTTAATCCTCTTCACATTGCATGTTTATGTAACAGTGTGTACGGTATGTGGCAACGGCTGTTTGACCAAGTGTGTTTGTGTGTGTTTTTCTGCCTCAACGGCCGTGGCACAAGAAAGAGAGCGAGAGAGCTAATCTGTGAAAGTACAAATGTGTGCTGCGTCTGCAGATTGGCGTGGCACCTCTCTCCTCTTTGATTAAACCGTGAGTGCGTGTGTGCGTGTGTGTGTGCGTGTGTGTGTGTGTGTGCGTGTGTGTGTGTGTGTGTGTGTGTGTGTGTGTGTGTGTGTGTGTGTGTGTGTGTGTGAGTGTGTGTGCGTGCGTGCGTTTCCATTTAACCCACTCGTATGATTCACAGGTTTACGGAAAGCGCCGCTTCACTCTTGGCTGCAGCTGATCATGCCACATTGCTTGGCCATAATAACTGGATTCACCAAATCATGTTGCACCCCCGTATGGCGAAGAAAAGCCGCTGAGATACTTTAAAAATCTGTTCCAATTCCCTTTGCAATTTAGAAGAGAAAGAAATGGAACAGGCTTTTTTTTGGGTAAAAATGACATCAAACACATGCCAAGATGAAGCCACGCATTTCTGAATTTGTCTCTATGAAGGCCCCTCTAATCTCGCTTTCAGCCAAAGAAGATGCGTGAGGCAGATGGTTTTGTCAAAGAACCTGGCATCTGTTTGAGATTTTTTTTTTCCCCAGGTGCTTGCCCATGTGGGGTTCACCTGTTTTATGTAGATTGTGTAAAGTGCCTTGAGATAACTGTAGTTGTGAAACGTTTTCATTATATGAACTGATAGAATATTTACCCCCATGTTTTGAATTTCCATCCATCCATCCATTTTCTGATCCGCTTTATCCTCACAAGGGTCACAGGGGGTGCTGGAGCCGATCGCGGTTGTCTTCGGGCAGTAGGCGGGTGGACTCCCTGCCAGCCAATCACAGGGAACACAGAGACGAACAACAATCCGCGCTCACACTTATACGAGGGACAATTTGGAGTGCTCAATCAGCCTGCCATGCATGTTTTTGGAATGTGGGAGGAAACCAGAGTACCCGGAGAAAACCCACGCAGGCCCAGGGAAGAACATGCAAACTCCACACAGGAAGGCCAGAGTCGGGATTGAACCTGCGACCTCCGCACTGTGAGGTTGACGCACTGGCCTACCGGGCTGCCTGTTTTGAATTTGAAAAAGGATTTGGTGAATTCACGTTTAAAACTTGTGGGGTTCAGAACCTCCAAAAAAGTTATACCGCTGTCCTATAATTACAGTTGTTGGAATAAAAAAAAAAAAAAATCAATGTATAAAACTATATTCTCCCAAAATATTGACTTTTCCCCCCCCCTCATAAAATTACATTGTTATTGTAAAATTACAACTTTCTTCAAGGAATGTTTTGAATTTTGTCATCGTATTGTAACTATTGTAACTATCTTTTGTGCGCCGCTCTCATAATCCTTCACAAGGCAGCGGTGACAGAGCTCGTTGGATGCCACCCTCGACAATCCTATTCACACCCACGACTGTGGTGCTTTTGAATCCCCAAAAGTCATTTCCTGCTCTGGTGTATGCAGAAAGAGAGAAAAAGGGAATGACAGAAACAAAAAAAAAAAAAGCACCATCTGCCGGACCTGATGGTCTGAGTACCACCACCCTCCCCCAGCCCACATCCTAATAATAACACCCCTGACACAGACGGTGTATGCAGCTAAAACTGTCTCATAAGGTTATTTGCATTTTATTACAAAAAGGGAGAATTCTAAAGACACGGAGACAGAGCAGAGGATCAAGACAGTGGACATGAATCAAAATTGGAGACAAACTCAAACGCAGCCCTTGGACACAGATAAAATCAAAAAGTTTGGGGAGAGGTTGTCTCTCTGTGGATGCAAGAGGAATGAGGGGAAAGGTGGAAAAAAATCTGAAGCTTTTTGGAAGAATGCAGAAATAATTGAGAACCGAGGCAGCAGGCTGGTACGTTTTGACGCGGCAGTACAAACGAAATGAGGTGCAGATCGTGCTGATTTATTGACAGATCGGGTGATGTGTGGATGCGAGTAGAATCTCAGCAGACATGGCGGACTGACGGGACGTGGAATGACAACAAATTTAACGAGGAAGGACCGGAGCAGAGCATGATGGTACGGCGAAACCAGGATATTTAAACCTGTGATAAAGAGACAAGGACAGTCGGGGAGATGCGAAGCACAAAGCAATGAAACAAAAGGCAACGCAAGAGACTGGTTTTAGTCTGAGAGACAACTAGAAAAGGCTCACCGTGAAGGGGATTGTTGTAGCTGACAGAAGAGTAAAATTGCATGAGGGAAGAAGATTTGCTCCTGAACACGTCTACTCTAACACACTAACATCAGCCTAATCTATTTCGAAACACAGTGCTTTATACAATGCTGGTTCGCAACAGTACCAGCACTTTTAGCCTCTAGCGAGAGACTTTACATGCACCCACAGTGACCCTCTCTTGTTCTACAGTACTTCTCTCTTGCACTTGGTGAAACTTATACGACTCCTTCAGTAATTCGGGTACCACCAACATTTTTTTTTTCTGCCTCCAGTGGCATCTTATACACATGTCATTGAAGCTGCAAAGATACTCATAATGTAACATCCACATCCACGCACATATCTATCTATCTATCTATCTCCATCCATCCTAGCTGTCTTCGGGCAGTAGGCGGGGGGACACCCTGAACCAGTTGCCAGCCAATCGCAGTCCACACAGAGACGAACAACCATCCCCGCACACATTCACACCTAGGGACAATTTAGAGTGTTCAATCAGCCTGACATGCATGTTTTTGGAATGTGGGAGGAAACCAGAGAACCTGGAGAAAACACACGCAGGCCTGGGGGGGAACATGCAAACTCCACACAGGGAGGCCGGAGCCGGGAATGCACATATATATATATATATATATATATGCGATGGGAATATTGCCAAAACCCGTTCGATTTACAATCACTGCACTTTGCTCCAGCCAGTCAAAAAGAGCTGCGTGACATGAGACACGGGTGTTTCCATGGCAACTATGTGTTTACTTGTGTGTGGAGGTGATTTACATGTGGTTGTGTGTTTGCAGGTGTCGCAGAACAGTTCGCAATTGCCGAGGCTAAACTGAGGGCCTGGTCGTCGATTGATGGTGACGATTCCAACGATGACTCATACGATGAAGATTTTCTGCCCGCCAACGAGCCTGCAACACAGAGCACAGGTATACACACACACACACACACACACACACACACACACACACACACACACACACACACACACACAAACACGCACACCCATGTCTGTATAACACGCACACACACGCACATTCGGATATGCATGTCCATCGTGTGACACACTGCCTCTGCAGGCAAGGAAATCGTATTAAAAATGCAAGAGGATATCCAATTACGCAAAGCAGCAAAATAATGTTGCAGGCAGATGAAAAGTGGGGCAGTGGGACACAGGACGCTTCGCAAAGAGAGCAGGATGGACATTGATGAGGACAGTCGGAATCAAATCTTTGTGAACTGCTTTGTGTGTGTGTGTGTGTGTGTGTGTGTGTGTGTGTGTGTGTGTGTGTGTGTGTGTGTGTGTGTGTGTGTGTGTGTGTGTGTGCATATTTTGGCAGCTCTTTCATTTTGATTACATTTCGCCACAAACTGCAGGTCATAACAGCCAGCTCTGTGTTGCCCATGTCTCTTCCTCAAGAAATTTGTGCCTTTTTCGCCTTTGGCAAAGGCCACAAACTTATTTCTTTGTTTCATTGATCAAGTCTGCATGAAATCAAGTCACTGTCATAGCTGATTTGAAAAGAGAGTCACAAGGATTACTAGGTAGCACCTAACAGTTATACGACAACATTTTGCAAAAGCATATTTCTCATTATACATGCTAATCCATCCATCTATCCATCTGATCCGCGTATCCTCACGATGGTCGCGGGGCGTGCTGGAGCCCATCCCAGCCGTCTTCGGGCAGTAAGCGGGGGACACGCAGAACTGGTTGCCAGCCAATCGCAGGGCACACAGAGACGAACAACCATTCACGCTCACAATCTCACCTAGGGACAATTTAGAGTGTTCGATCAGCCTGCCATGCATGTTTATGGAATGCGGGAGGAAACTGGAATACCCATAGAAAACCCATCCAGGCACGGGGAGAATATGCAAACTCCACAGAGCAAGGCCAAACCTTGCACCTCTGCACTGGGAGGCCGACACGCTAACCAGTCGACCACCGGGCCCCTATTCATGCTAATACAAAAGAAATTTAAGCTACAGGGATGAGAACATCAAAAGCCCTCTACTTCTATTCATCAAATTATCCATCCCTCCATTCATCCATTTCTATATCACGTGTCCTCACCAGGGTTGCTGGTGTGCAGGAGCCTATTCCAGCTGACTTTGGGTGAGGGATGAGGTACACTCAGTGATGCTTTTGCAACAGCGCGTTAGCAAAGAGCTTCGGCTGGCGACTAGTGCAGCATGTTGTGGAGTCACTCAGAAGTCAGTAATCATTGCCTTCGTAGGGGTAAATAAGCTACATTTAATATATGTATGTACACACATATATA